TACCGCTCACTACAGCTAAGTGAGTGATATCCAGACAATTATTCTATAATAATCAAAGAAATAGATCTCTCCAATTTCAGTCTAAATAGCTAATTTAATAATTATTATATAATTCTTTTTATTTCAACCAAAACCAGATATTTTCTTCATAAATTATTTGATTTCTTTAAAATCAATTTTTATACATCCCTATTTGGATTTGGTAATTTTATTATATTTTTTATTAGAATCTTCAAAAGATTAAGTAATAGTAATCCAAACAGAAATTTTAAAACTATTATTAGAGATATTGTTATTTAATTTAGCAGCTTTGAATTGAATTATAAAAAAGCAATCTTTTCAAAAATCTATTTTGTATTAGAGATATAAGAAGTTTTGATAAAGATAAGTATTGTTTTGATAATAGATTTGGATAGCATAATTGTAGAATAGTTATTGATATTGTAATATAGGTTTATAGTTCAATTAGAAAGAATTTACAGATTATTGTATAGCACATATATAAAAAATATTATATAAGCTAAATAAAGGCTTGTATTTTTAAAAAGTGGTATTTTTAGAAGTGGGAATCTATATACACACTCCATTTTTGATAAATGCGAAAACTCACACTACCGAGCCAAACAAGGCCTAATTCATACCTTCAAACCATTTTAAATTCACTGTCTTTAAACTGAATACTTTTGAATTATCAACTGACGACCGATTGGTTGAAATTTGCTTAGCCGATGGCCCCTTTATTGAGGAACAACTTCTTCAAGTCAAAGGAAAATATTTTGTGCATTAGATGCACAGAAAATTACACAATTCACACCTTCAATTATTGCATTGCATTAAATACTCAGTACTTCCAGGCAACATGTCTTTGTTAGCTTCTTTGTTACCTTCTTCTTCGCCTTCTGTAGAAGGAAAAATCATCAAAAAGGATCTCAGTAAGATAGCCAAGCTCCAAAAGCAATCTTTACACATTACAGAGACAATTTTCGCAGCACACACCAAATGGATTAAAATTTTGAGACAATACAATATCATTCTGTATAAAAGATGGGCCAAACGATTGATCGAGAAAGCAAAGAGAAGAGCTTCTTTTACTGTACAAGCTTGGCCTAAAATCAACAGGATTAGTTGTTCAGACTGGTTCACGGTAACCAAACTCACCTCTCTCTCCTAACAAACCCAAAGACCACATTCATGACGACGCAGCTTACTTTTGGCTATATATGAATCTCGAAGATTTGGTGAGAAAGGTCCAGATAATTTACTGCTATTCTTGGGCTCGAGAGCTGGACAACTCTCCGCATGAATTCGCTCTCGTTGATTTGTGGGGAGTGGAACTCGGATATTTTGCTCTTCTGACTGATATGACTCGGAGTGGTGAGGTAATCGGTAAATATTTGGTTGCAATGCATTGTATGCTCATTACAAATTGTACTGGGGGTGAGTATGGAAGTATGGCCTCGGTTGTTGATGAACCAACAGCTGTTATATCTGGTCGTGCGGTGGATACACATGAAGGCCTACTGTTCTTAATAACACATCAGCATACTTTGGAGCTTCTAATCAAGTGCTGTGAGATAATTTTGCATGATATCAAGCTCGTATTTGATGATTCTGCGATACCTACCTAGCTCTGAAGTGTCATCCGAGTTTTTGAATCTTCAATCTGATTAGTTGAAGTTGGATGAGAGATTTGTATTAGGTCCATACGGTGGATCCAATAGACTCAATCTTGATGATATGAGTTCAATGGTTCGTGTCAAGCTAAATGAAGCGGAGGATCACCTTTGGATGGTGCGGGAAAGCCCCAATTACTTTTACAACGAGCTAGGAGATAATATTTAGCATAGTAGCCACAGGCTGGCTCGAAAAACTTATCCTTCCTAGGTGGAGCTTACAGTCCTTCACAACGAAGTGGTAGGAAGCTTCATGGAGGAAGCGTACGGCAACTTTGCGCACTGGGGACTAGTAGCTGACAAGATGGATAATATATTTGAAAAAAATACGAAGAACAGGGCCCCGAGGCGGACACTTTTACAGAGTTCTTGAAGAAAATCTTCCTCTTGAGAGACTTCTTGATGTTGATGTCCACATTTCTCAGAGTAGCTGTGAAATGTACTCTGGCATCTTCACCTGCTTTGCCATCCATTTCCTTCTACAACTCTGAAGGCAGATTGGAGTACCGACATCCACGCGGTAGCGATCAATTGATGGATTTGCTCTTGGAGGTCGCAGGTTGGTATATCACCCTAAGATCATATGCAGAGTTGGTGATGAAGCGTTGTGGATACCAAATCCAAATCGAGGCCCTCGACCGACTTTTGATGAGAGATCTGACGCAGAGAAATCGTCTGTCCATACGGGTCAAGCGTATAGTTGATGAAATTGGTCCCGTTTCTATGATCATGAATAAATTCATGTATTATCGACCATGTTTCAAAATAGAACACCGTTCTCAATTCTTACCGTAAGACTCGAAGCAGCTGGCGCATGATTCTAGTGAGATTTGGGATATGCCGAGTGCAATATCCTCACTCGATTCATTCAAATTAGTGTATCCTCTCAAAAAGTTTGACTGCGATGAAGACAAGTACACGGTACAGAGTGTTAACAAGCTTCGATAAGCAGAACGTAATTTGGACATGTTCTAGAATTATGTGGATGAGGCAGTACTGAAGGAACATGGCGTAACACTATTTCAGATGGTCGATACATGGTTTGAGAGGGATAGATATCTCGCAGACCTCCACCGAACCTCGGAATGGATTGGTGATCTCGTTCCTTCTCAGGTATCCCCGATTGTAGAGGATGTTGATAAATATACCAGTGCTTTCCAACACCTCACATCGTCGAGACGAGCAATTCCTCCATCGCCATCTTAGCACCACTACCAAAGATTAAAACTCTGTCTCAGACGGTGTAAACGCCTACTGAGGTTGATGCCGAACTAATGCAATCATTAGTAGTCCCAGAATTACCAAAGTTTGAACTCAAGCTTAACTTGTTCAAAGTCTTCAAGGCCTTACTTTCCATGCCTAAACCAAGACAGCAACAAGGGGTAATCGCTTGGACAGATTTCCTTGCTACAATAGTAGAAATGGGATTTGAAATTCAGAAGCGGCGTGGCAGTTCCTGGCAATTTAAGCCTACGGATAAAATACCAGTAGTTTTGCCAGAAATGCAACGTACTGGTGCAAAGCAGGCTGGAAGACATATCATATTCCACGACCCGCACCCTTCTCTTAAGATTCGGTTCGAAATTGTTAGAATCATGGGTAGAAGATTGGCTAGAGCGTATGGGTGGACGGGAGAGATGTTTGAAATGGAGTTATTAGCTTACTGGTGTGTACGAGTATTTATGGTCGTTTCTTTTTCGATATTGATGTGGTTACCTTCTTCTTCGCTTCCAATACCATAGATACATTTCTTTCACTTAAGTTTAGTACAATAATAATCAAATTTACAAATTCTCGCCTGTTATTTTACCTGATGAGAGAGTGTATGCAGAATGATGTCGGAGACAAGTGAATGTCTGAACAGTTCTTTCTGTACGGAATAACATGAGCTGATCATATTCGTTGCATCTTTCTTTCGGGTAAGAACTAAACTATCCGAGTACATCTCTTTTAACTTTCAATATAGTGATAACCGAAGAAGGTGCCTTCTTTGCATTCACTGTCTACTGCGAAGGAAGATCATTTTATGCTCAAACCAAATACACATACATTTAATCTCCATAACAGACGTTATTATTTTTATCTTACAATCCCATGCCCACTTTCATTGTAAGACAGCCATTGCAATAATAAAATAACTTTTTTTATTTCAATCGAACAACCCGTCAATAAATAGGTGAACAAGGACCATAAAGAATACCGTAGATTGCTCTTTCCCTCTAGACTTATCTTCCTTGGGGTAAGTGGCAAGCACTAGAGTTCTAAGCAAGCACTTGAGTGCTTGGGTCTTTGTCTTCTTACCATAATAACCATATTTCTTCTTGTTACCAGTATTTCACTCCCATTGTTTGTCCGTCTCAACGCCCACATAACTTTGCAAGATGAGTGTAGTAATTGTAAGTATTACCTTCGGACTACACTGCATCCCAAACTTGAAGTGTCTAATTACATATGCAGCGCTCTAGACAACAACGACGGACCGAGAAAACCGAACTCGATGACACTACTATAGTTGTTCAGCCAGTGGTCTGGAAGGGTAAATCCAAGGTGATTGGGGGGCAGGTTTGTAGCCATTATACAAGACCTGCAGCTTCTAATCACACTTACAGACTTATTATGCCAATGATAAGAATGAGATTGTAATCAGGATATCGGATGAAGAAGGACCCACGGATGTTAACGACTCGAATAAAGGGCCAACCATGTGTGAGACCGCCCCGCTAGCGTCTGAGGATGTGGTTGTCTTCATTTCTTCATTGCTTTACTAACTTTCCACTTCATTCAGGGAATATGCAAAAAAGAGGGTATTGCTGCGTCTGCCTGAAGAAGGGCAAAGTATTGCATTGCGAGTTCCGCCAGATTTGTGGACGCGGTTTCGACGAAGCATGTGCAAATGCCGTCGGATGTGTGTACTACGAGTCGAACAGCAGACTAGAATGCCCCGTACACTACCAAGGATGGGTCGAGGATGGTATTCGGTTCAAATACGAACTGGCGGATTCGATGTCGTGCATGACGGATTTTGATAAGGTGGTGGCCGAAGTCAGAGGTCTATTGGCCGAAGAAGATTGGGACACTAGACACATGGCCATTATTGCGGAGCTCCAAAAGTGTGCGTCAGACACTGCACAACTACTTGGAAAGCACAAGCAGCTTATGAGTGACAGACAATTTCTGTTGTTGATCAAGAAATTGGTCATTGAGGTGCTTGGTATTGTGTCGAGCACTGATCCTTAGTCATGAATGAAAGTTGTCTGGTCAGAATTCACTTGAACAACCAGAGTTACTTGACGATTAGAATCAGACACATTATTCAAACTATTGGTACAAATCAAAATCATTCATATATTCAAGACCACTCAGATGATTTGTACCTCAACCTCGGGTGATCGTCATTGAAATACTCAAAATCACCCGGATAAACAAGACTATCTCAAAGACCATCACCAACACCCTCTCCAGTATCATCAATCCAGACCAGCATCCGACTTATCTCCTCAGACTTCACAGTATCCATGAAACTTTTAGTTCTCCATTTGCGAATCTTCCGGATAACATCTGTATCTCCTTTCTACATCTCCGTAATACCCTTCTCACTCGCCCCTTTAAACTCCTCATGCAAAACTCTCATCTTATCCAGGTGAGTTTATCTCTCCATTTATTGCGCCGAAGGTCCTGATATCTATCGTTTCACTCTTCAGAATAAAAGCCAAGTTTTCATCCTCAATTATCTTCTTAACATGTTGTCCATATCTTTCAAGGAATTCACCATCTGAGATTTGATCTCGGGTTGAAGGTTCGTGACACTGAAGGTATCGAGGAGTTCGGATGCCCTGTTTACCTCGGTTTCGGGGTCTTTTGCTTTGTCTTTGCCATTGCATTATGCTTCTGTATATATTGATTAATGGGTGAGGTAACTATATTGTGAGTAACAAAAGTCTACGAAATAGTGAATATTTCAATAGATTTAGATATAACACTCTCCGGTATGGGTTGCGCGAGTACTACTCGACTCTGTTGAGCTAGCTGTATATATAAGGCTGTCCACCGATAGCTTTACTGTCCCATGGGGAGCTAAAATGGGACTTTAGCTCCATATGTTTTGTGAAGAGAATTGCGATGCAGTCTGGCAGTTATAAGAGTATAAGCTGTTAATTGTGAGCTGTCGACTGCGAGATTTGAATCTTCCTTTTATCAGCTCAGACTGCAGAAAGTAACTATTAGGGAATAGAGATATCCAAGACTACTCATCAACGATTTTGCTTATCAAGTTTATAAGCAACCTTTGACTTATCTATAGAATAATAAGTTATTATTAGATGAAATTGATATATCTATTATTGTGATATCTAGTTTTATAAATTATATTTGTATTATTAATGATAAATTTGAAAATATCAAATATAATAAATGAGAGGAAATACTAAGTAAATAAATTAAAAATAAATATAATAAAAGAATAGTAAATAATAAAGATCTAATCTACTCGTAGTATCTTTATCTACTTATATCAAATACTAAAAACAACTCTATTTTTCACTGGCATTCGGACTTCAAAAGATCCCAATACTTATTAAGAAGAAGTCTATATGATAACAAGCTATAGAGATTGATATAATTATAAATATCACTTCATTTATCTTTGATTACAGCTATGTACAACTAGAGGAACATCCGAACATGATCAGCTATGCATTGGATGTTTGTATTGAGAAGCGAATCAAGTTACAATTAAATAAAGACAAACTCCTCAAGCATCAGTCAATAGCTTCCTTATCTGCATCCTCGAATCTTCCAACCCCTTCATCTTTGCTATCATCTTGTAGCCTTCTACAGCCATCCTTTGATTCTCCTTCTTCAACTTATCATTTTCAACCTCTCGCTCTCTGAGCGCTTCCACTTTCTCTTCAAGAAGCCCACTCAATTTCTCTCTCTCGAAATCCGCCTTGAGGAACTTGTTGAGTTCATCCAATGCCTTTCTCTCCGAGCTTCTCATTTTCATCACTTCATCTTGCAGTTTTGCAATCGTGTTCGATTGTACGCGGGCCGAATTCACCAGGAGCTTCTTCTCGTTCAAGAGCTCTTTAATCTTTGAGGTGGCATGTTGGATAACCAATACCGCGTCATCGAGCTCTGCCGTTGAAATATCGCCGTTTCTTGCTCGCTTGTTACCTTTAAGAACGCCTTACTGTCAGATATGATGCATAGTAAATTTTACTCGGAAAATGAGCTTACTGCTAGTTATCGTGTTTGTTTGAACCATACCCGGGCTCTGGGGAAGAGACTATACGAGAAGTCAGAACCACAGAACCACAGAATAACAGAATACTGTAAACACTACGAGATTGAGACATACCATATTCTTATCGCTCTTGACTTTTCACTTTGCGCTTCCAAAGTGGTTGTTGTGTGAACACAGTGAAACTCGAGAACAATTGTGTTATTACTCGAGTACAAACTTAAGTATTCAAGAACGGCGCCGGGTCCTGAATCGTATATTCGATTTTGCAAAGAGAGGAATGAAAAAAACCAAACAATTCATATCCAATAATTTTCGAAGCGTTTGGCGTTTTGCAAAGCGGATAGCTGCTCATGAGAATTTCTTTTTCTGACTTTGTTTTTTGAAGAAAAAAAACTAAGACTAAATATTATAATAATAGATACATCAATTTCAATTGATTATGACTTATTATCTTAAAGATAAGTCAAAGGTTACTTGTATTTGTCAAAAGAAATGATGTAATACACCAAAAACAAAGCTGCAAGCTGCCGAAATGAAATCTTTTCAAAAAAGTGCCCAAGGTATACTCGAGTACAATGATGAGATAAAAAAAATTAATAGTTGGCTCTTCATGGATCGATCGGCCATCTGGTTCTCAGCAAGCACACTAATGCCCGCTGCTCCAAGTTCAAAGATTTCTTGATCTTTTTAACAGTAACTTTTTTTACTACTACTACTACTACTACCATCTCTCTCTATGTATCTCTATCTTCATTTCTATCTCTATAAACAGGTGTCATCACACTTATAAATATGCACTGTAGATCTCCCTATCCGCATCCATATACACATACATACATATACACATAGATCCAATGAACCCCTCCCTCATCGGCCATCCTCATCTCCCTGCTCCAAAATATCTATCCCCAAACCAAAACGCCAGACCAAATCTACTAGCATTCAATGCATAGGTAACCCATGTAAGATCTTCCCTTATATCCAAAAACGCCCTGTAAGACAAGAGACATAACCCTATGCAATCACCTGCCCACACACGAATATATACACGTCGTAAACCCGGCAAATCTATATCCAGAAAGATTTATACCAACAGGCAATCCCATCACACTATACTACCCCAAGAACGAAAGAAAATGAAACGTGATGAAAATTAAGGAGTAAACCTCAAGGTCACCACATTTTCCCTGTCCTCCTCATTCTCATCCTGACCCACCCACCTATGATCCCCCCTCCTCTTCACATAAACCATATCCACGACGCCATCGGCCCTCTTCCTCCCCCCAAGCGCCTCCCACGCACGCTTCTTGCCCGTATGACTCAAGCCTTCACGAAGCGCCCCATATGCAAGAACCATCCGCACATCTTCTTTCCCGGAAGCCCAGCCATCGGAATCGCCGAGATCGAACGTTCCTTCCATTTTCGACATGTCCCAATGAATACCCGTTGGGTATTCGGCCAGGGAGTATCCATTTGTGAGAACCCATTTGGATGCTCCTTTGCCGTCGAAACCGAAGCGTTGGAACACGCAGGCTTCGCCGCAGGCATCGGCTACAATGTGGGATACTTCGGGAGTAGCGTGGTGCCAGGATTTGTAATGGTGGAGAGAGAGTGGTTGGTGGCCGGCCTCATAAAAACCGGCGGGGTCGCCCCATTGGTCGAGTTGGTTGAGGCGGGGGAGATAGTCGAGGCTGATGGAGGTGTGGTTTTTGATGCAGTGGTAGAGGAGTCGATCGCCTTGAAATCCGGATTCGGTGTATTCGCCGGTGGAGGGATCGACGTCGAGACAAGGGAGTCCAATTAAAGTGTGTGCGAGAGGGAGAGTAATAAATACACCGGCTCCACCGTAAGCCTGTTCTTTGTTAGTGGCAGGTTGCTGGAAAGGACTTTAGGTTCTTACCATAGGAACTCGATCATTTATAATAAAATCCACTCGCTCTGTAAGAGCGCCAATGTAATTCTCCTTTTCAGGATCGTAACTGTGCAACTCTTTCATCAATGCGCCAATAGAAGGAAAGAAAGTGTCGTCGTCAATCAATGCCAGATATTTTCTGGTCGATCTTGATGGATGGCTGTAAAGAATGGGGACGAGATCAACATATCTTCCCGGCATATCGAGCGAAGGATCCGAATGTAAAACGGTTGCAGAAATTCCAACACCTGTAAGCATTTTCTGAGCCGATGCCAATTGCTCTTCTGTGGTATCATGCAATTGTAAAACAAGTCCTGCTCCGTTCGATGTGCCATTTCCATCTGTAAGCCATCGTACCCATTCCTTTATTGGCCCATCAATTTCGTCATTAAATCTTTTGTATGTGGTTGAGACTCCAAATAATAACTCGGTAGCATCAATCTCGTTTGGTCGTGGTGTTTTCATAACGTGAATTTCCAAAGCTTCTAATGTATCCGCCGGTAGCCTGTTCGTCTTGTCAAGATTGACCTTCTTCCACCCACGAGGAAATAATTCCTGACTGGTATTCGTCATCATAGGTCTTTCTTTCGCGTCGGTAATGTATCGTATCGTTCTCATAACATAATTAATCTCCATTTCGACATTATTCTTCTCCAAAATATCTCTTAAAAACACAGCATCATCAACATCCGTGATGTTCAATTCCACTGGTGAGATTTGACTTTGTTGTGTTGTTTCATGAGTTTGAGCGACTTGTTTGGAAGTTGCTGCTGTTGACTTTTCGGGTGTGGGTGCTGATGCATGTTCTTTTGGTTTTGGTGTTTCTCTAAATGCAGGTACAAAAGTCTGCGAAACGTTTTCGTGATAGTAAGACAAAATGAGGAAAAATGCTACTGTCGCAATGGCGATAAAACGGTGCATTGGAATCCGGGGCATTTTGAGGCTTTCCTCCGGGGGCTCAAATGACGACTTTCGCCTGTTTTCGGTAATGACTTTCTGCTGCAGTGTACAAACGATAAAAACCGGTACTTGTATTGTAAAAATACTCGTACAGTGTGCAATGCAATTGCAGGACCAGAATACAAGATTGAAATGAAGGTTTGAAGAAAAAGAAAGAGAAAGAATAAAGATCGTAGGTAAGTCTGGATTTAGAATAATGGGAAAAGATCAGACAGAAGGTCTTGGAGAGGGGAAATGGGGGAGAGAAAATAGCTAGTACAATAATAGCTAATTGAATAGGAGAAAGGTGGAGACTATAGAGAGTGAATTTGGACTGGGTGACGAAGCTGTTTGATAGTCCCTGTCTGTGGGCAAGATAGTAAATTAATCAATTAATCATGGGGGGGAGCCTATCAATTACAGTTGGAGAATCTTCATGGTTTGAATTGCTTCAAGTTAATTACTAGGTACAACCAAGTATAATCATACATAGGGGGAGGGGGTTCATGGTTCTATAATCAATAATCATTCAATATTCAACTAATCTCGATTTTGTGATTGTAGGATGGACCAGTTAATATATCACAGTCCAGTCCATGACCAGCGAAAAGAAAGTAAGAAAAATCTGAAGATCAATACTTCACTAAACAATCGATCGAGGCTTGCCGAATCATCTCGAGACGAATTTAGAGTCTACTTGTCACGTATTAGCATTATTTGAAGGTTGATTAGTTTGATATAAGTTACTACTACTCAAGCGAATTAGAGACGCGCCATTCTTTTGAAGATACACGAACTAGGGACACGCAAGTGCCAAGGCGGGAGTTAAAAATATGTCTGGGCCTTGAGGAGTAGTCATTGATTAGAGACTATTTCGAAAGTGGATGGTGTAACGGGCCAATGTAACAATGGTCGAAATGCTTAAATTGGTCAAGCATTTTAAGCTTCATGCTGACTTGACTTGTTTCATGAAAAATAATCTTCTCGAGCCGCGGTAGCTACTTGCCGCCAATAGTCGATGATAATTCGAGGGAGGAAGTCGGGGAGGATTGGGGAAACAGAATAACTTCTGAAGCCTGAACTGAAATCGATTAATCGTGAGGTCTTTCAAAAGTTTGAAACCACTTTGAAGTTTAAGTTTTAAATTGTTTGAAATTCAAAACTTTAAAGTCATCTTTATCAACAGGCAACCTCCATGTTTCAAGAAGTTATTTGCAGATACATTACTAGGATGTTGAATGAGTCCCACGCTATCACACCAATGGACAAATCACGTTCTCAACAAACGAAAGATGGAGGAGGCGGAGTCAAGACGTATGATAAGAGCTCTTCCGATAAACCGACGATCTCCTCAGAACGTTTAAAATGATGCTTATCATTGACGCCGATCAGGGCAGTTGCCGCCGTCGTCCAGGGTATAATGTTTGCAGTACCTGAGTGAAAATTAGCCTTATGCTTTGATTGCAGGAGGGAACTGAGGTTTTTGACAAATGAAGGATTCACGACACAGTGAACGGTTATGGCAAAAGTGACATGGGATCTGTATCGATTTTCGGGTAGATGTAGTCCTCCAGCCTCTACAGTGAAAGGGTATTTTTAAGATCTTCGCCCCTTGATATACCGAGAGGTTAATTCTCAGCGATCTCGGGAAGAAATATCTACGGAGGTAGAGAAGAAAGGTCAAACGTAAAGGGCCGAAAGGTTCGATATAAACATTCTATTAAAATGAAACTTTATTATTAAAACAAGAGGGTTTGGAATATAGGGGAAACAATTTTAGAGTTTATAGTATTGAGTCTATTGACTCGACAATCAACGGCACGACCACGACTGGTCACGTAATATTATCACATAAACCTTTTCAGTCATCTTCCTGTTCTGTGTCTTCCAAGCATACTCCACCACGACCCGACATATCTAACAACTGGAGCTCCAACCCCTCCATTTCCTTTTCTATGGCTTCACTATCCTCCGATCGCTGTGCTGTCTCAAAATCAATAAGAACAGCCCGCCCCTCCGAAATCAAGAAATTGTACTTATTCAAATCTCCATGAATAATACCCAAATCATGCAATCGTTCCACTGCAGCCTTGCAAGCTGGAAGATCCGAGATAGTAGCATGGCGACCTTCAACATTCTCTATAAGAAACCCAATCACCCTACCCTCTTCAGTCAGATACCCCAAGAACTCTGGACCAATACCGCAGCCATTTATCCACGAATACACTTGAGTTTCAGCGATATAGTATCCAATTTCCCATTCGAATCTTGCAAATTTGGCAATGATTGGCTGTTCGAACAAGGGAGAAGATGCCATGAACACATTTGAATTGAGTTGTTCAAGCTCGAAGGATAAGTAGTCGTATGATTTCGTATGCCATAGAGGTTTGATGGAGGGGAAATCTTTTTTGGAGGTCTCGGCGAAGAATGCCATTGAATTTTCCGCGGTTCGAGAGATGCGCCCATAGTTCCAATCACCGGCGGGAAATGGCGGTAGTTTTGAGATCAAATATGGTGGGAAACACATATCATCGACTTCGTAGATTTCTGGGTCGATAGTGATGTATTTGAAGTGCTCATTGTTTACTAGCATCCTGTAGAAGCTTGGAGTGCTGCCATCGACATCTATTTCTTGATTCAGATAGTGATCGTTGCAGGATACATATCTTTGGTGGGTGCCATACTTCAATACCACTGGAGAATTATAAGTTCGAATTGGATAGCTCAAGAGGAATCGGCCTCTCTTAGTGGAATGCCGTGACGAGAACGAAATTCATTGGACCAGAGTTGCTGAGTAAGTAATAATAGGCCACGGAGGTCGCGTCAACTCAACGTGATTCTACTTTCTCTTTTCTCCTCAGCAATTATTGAAGATGGCTTCGTCTATTAATTTGACTGCAGATGAGTTCCGCCTCTTGACCTAGCCACGTCCTATATTAAGCCAAATGACCATTCCACCTCAATTTCTTCAAAGATATTGTCCACTCGACAATGGCCTTCTTCGACCACATGCTGCAAAAATTCCCGCCTCTATTTCTGACATTGGGAGCTTCAAAGCCCTTCCACTTGAGATCATACATTTGATTTTCAATCTACTTGACCTGCGATGCTTGACGGACTTCAGAGCTGTGAGCTGGCGCGCCCGTACTCTTGTCGACAGCGTCCCCGAGTACAATGCATTAGTTAAGCATTCCCCAGATGCATTACGCGCGTTGATCTCGACGCGTATCGCTGTTTATTTTACTGCTCAAGATATCTTCGAGGCACTCTGTACGCAATTTTGCGCTGGGTGTGGGCAATTTGGTCCGTTCCTCGACATGTTTACTGCTCAACGATATTGCATCAATTGTGTGGGAGACTCGGATGATCTATTGTCTATGACAGCATCTTCTGCGAGGAAAGAGTTCGGTCTGAATTTGAAGACTATGCGCACAATACCTACGTTATTAAGCATCCCGGGAGAATATGCCGAAAGCTCGAAGGAATATCGAAGACGAATATCTTTAGTCCGCATGCTATCAGCTAGTGTCGCTCAATCTCAAATCCACAAGCCCAACACCCTGCGTCGAAGATCATCGCCGCCTGTTAGCATTTCCACACAGCCGCCACAGCCTCCTTCGCCTCCAATTTCACATCGATTGCTGCAGAAATTTGTCGGCCATAAGCAAGACCCATATCGTTTCATGCCAATGCTAAGGGTTCCTTATTTAGATCGACGGACTGGAAGTCTAGACTGGGGAGTTTCATGCCAAGCATGTCGCCTTGCACCTCGAGATGAGAGACGTGGATATTACGATTGGAATACTGTTTACTCTACTCCTGGGTATTATGAGCATTTTCAAAAGTGCGAAGTATCTCAGAGAGGGAGACTTGAAATACCAAGGCACATTAAGGCTACTGCTCAAGAGCAACGGGTCTTCGATGCTCGATTCTTGGGGTTTTATGACTTTTTCAAATTTTGAGGACACTTTCACTCTCATATTAAAGTTAGGGTTTTTCATATAAATAATGCCTAGTGCGCTTGTAATTCTAGCCTTAACCCACAGAATAGCTAGCATTCCTTCTCTTGCGACCTATTGTAATCAGCCCTCCATACGATAACAGCTGCCTTGAAATCCTTGCTTGGCCTCGAATACAACAGCCTCCTAACGTCTCATCTCACTTGTCCCAGGCTTGACCATATGTCTTGCGCACATGTGAGCCGAGTCCTTATCCTTCTGCATTTGCACAGGGTCGCATTTAACGTTGGTGTTCTGTCGTGCGACGCATTGTACATACTCGGTGCTCTCCTGACAGCCGCAAGTGTAACGGATAAACAACTGTATACACATGATTGATATCGATATTCCCTCAAATCGTGTCGTGATAAAGTCGATTTTGAATGATTTGTCTTTTCTTTGAAATGAGAGGTTGGAGTTGGAGTTGGAAGGGGGTTGGAGTTGAAAGGGGATCGGGATGTGGAGTGTGTCTTTTCTTTGGAATGAGAGGTTGGAGTTGGATGTGGTTGTGCTAACAAGATCTTATAAAGTCAGGTCTCTTCTGCCTCTGACGGAATGTAACAGGCCGGACTGCTTACTATCAGATCTAAGATAGAACGAGTTCCCCGATATCTTTCTCTTAGGACGTGTAGCGAACGAAGATCCAGGAGGGGATGGCAGAAGTTTGAAGTGTGGTGTGATAGGATATAAATTGCTGGGAAATAAGATGTATGGCAAGAGCTTAGAGATTGTCTCAATATCTAAGAAAGAATCTAATTTTTGAAGTTTTGAATGTTCGTCGCTCTTTTATAACAGCGTAAAGACCCTTGACTACTAGATTGCCAAAATGGGCTCTATCACTTAATAAAAGTCTTAGCGACTAATTAAAATATCAAAATTCTTAGAATTTCAAAGAACTTAAAATTCTATTTTATAATAGCTGTTGAAATGTTTAAAATTATTAGATAAAAAATATATATTATATCTAAATTATCTTTTTAAAGAATTTATATATTTCGAAAAAATTTATATTATTTATTATTTCTATTGAAATCTAATTCTTTATTATAAATTAATTTCTTAAATATCGATTTATAAATTAATTATATCGATATATTTATCTTTATACTAATCTAAAGTTTATTTGATTATATTTATAATTTTATTTTTATAAATTTAGAATAATGTAACCAAAAGGGTATAAACAGGACTCCGATTGTCTATTTAGAATCTACAAGTGAAGAACTATATAGGGTACTAAAAGGAGGACTATATATACAGGTATTTGGGAACTATAAGAACTAGGC